TAAATACTTAATTATTCATTTTGATTTTGTTTTTACCAGTGCGATAGGTAATGCTACTATAATAATAAATAGTTCCGGTTTGTTGATCCTGACTATATCGTTTAGGCTATACAATGGCTCGTATGCCGTCTGTATGGACAGGGCGACTCAAAACTATGGTCCTTTCTTCGAAAGTCCAACCCAGACCCTATACTGCACTCACATAGTTTTCTTTAGCATTGTACACAGACTAAAAAAAAAGACACCTCTGTGGTTTGTTTCGGCGTTTCTTCCCAGAGCGAATCTTAGGAAATGCCGGCGCCTTCTAGCTGTGAAATAAATATCATTTCATCATTTCATCATTCCATTTCATGATAAATTATTGTTTTAACATTTTTGTTAATTAAGCGTGGCAAGTATTTCTATTTTCCACGTGCCTTCTTTCATGTTGTGAATGCTAAATTTGTATCACTGTCTAGACTTATATCTACCTATCTCCTAATAGTTCCTGTAACATGAAATTATGGTGTGTACCTTTCAAAAATATTTATCAATTTTTAAATAACAATAATATATTATCCTCACATATCTGACACTGATGATCTCTGATCTGATCCCAAACTAGGCAAAGCCTGTACTATAGTAGTCAGACTACTGATAAATATATTTTTATAATTTCTGAAAACATACATATAGATAAATTACACTAAACATAGAAAAAAAAACGTACTCATCACACAATTATTTGTCCTGGGTGGGAATCGGACCTCGAGGACCTTTGGATAACAATGCAGGCCCGTCAATAATAATTACATTTGTGTAAAAGCGTTACAAAAGGGTGATATAAGAAGTAGACGCGGTATAGTTGATCAGTAGTATGAGACAATAATTTTAAAAATTAAATTTAAAAATATACTTAAACAGAAATATCTAATTGATAAATTTTTTAGTCCATGTTTTAGAGTTTAGTTTTATGTATTCTAACACATTTACGTTTCAAGGAACTACCAAAATGGCATTAAACGAATCAACTAATGCCAAGTCAACCAACTGTAGCAATCCATCAATTTATATAAGTAACAAATACTTTCTTTAATTCAAAATAAGAAAAGAAATATATCCTGCAAAAGTCTCGAATTTTCCTATATTTTTCTTAAATTCTTCCACAAAATTTAACAAGTAGGTTACAAAAGTGCTGTAGTTCTAAACGGGAACTCGCAAACTGCCGTCGTTTGGAACTGAACCTGTCTGACTGAAAGCTATCACTACAAGTTTTCGCCCATATCTACACTCGTGAAATTCCCGGATAACACGAGTTTTAAAGGTAATAATTTAAATTTTCTTGAATTACTTACGACATATTAAGTCGTAAATTTCTGTTTTATGACATTGTAGGCTTTCGTCATCAATCCGGGATCATGATTGTTTTATCTATAACATGAAAGATAAGTGAACGTTATAAGGGCTATAACCGAGGAGCACATAAGTTTTACCAAGTGCTGCTCCCAGAACCCACTAGTAGTCAGAGAAATGTCTTGTAACTTAATATTTATGAACATAAAGTAATTTATTGATCAAATGGCAGGATTGATTAGGTTTCTAAATATTAAAGATAAAAAACAATGGAATAAATTATTACATGTAAAAGTGTGAGTGATGGATAAGGATGAGACATTTTAAGGGAAGATTGGAATTTTTATACGAATAATTGAAGCGTTTAAGAGTTCATATATTTGGTTGAAAACTGCTAATTACAGTATGGCTTATTACAAATTTACAAAAATTATAAAGTTTTTGTTATAGGGCTCCTTTCATTTCAGGCAGTTTAATAACTAATAAAGGTGAGCCACCTACTTGAACTGTTTTTATTTCAGTAAATCTCCGAATTTCTCATCTGTATTTCTCAAAGTTCCCGGTCGACAACAGTAAGGGTTGCCCTATGTAATGCATTTTGTACAATTTCGGTTTTTATTATGCCTGCTACCTCTACTAGCATACAAGCGTGAATTTAATTATGTTTTTTATTAATCATCATCAATCATCAACAGCTTTTAATAGTCCACTGCTGGACATAGGCCTTTTCTTAGAAAGGAGATTTGGGCCTACCACGTCACGCTGACCAGGCGGGTTGGCATAGGGTTTGCGTCAAGTTTTCTTATTCGGCTCCTACGATGCCCAAAGGATGAACAGGGATGGTGACACTCCATATTCTTAAGCCTTGATCTCACGAACATGTTTGTATTGAAATATAAATAAAACGGTGTTCGTACATTTATTTTCTAAAATGTGGACAAGAAATAAAGAAACATAGACAATAAATATGGTGCTCAAAGTGAATACAGCGAGGGCGTACGGTGGAGGGCGAAACATCTTCCAACACTGGTCGCAAGCCGTATTACGCCCGCAGTATATTACTATCGCATTTCTAAGTTTTGCATTCAACTCGCTTTAACTGTACCATTAGTGTTGAACATGATCGCCTTGACATATGTATGATATCGCTTTTATTTGCCAATAACCAGCCAGGGACCTTTGTCGCCATCTTTGCCGGAACCGTTGCCGCCACCGTTGCCCCCACCACCATTACGGTCATCTGTATTTTAAAATTAAAAGAAAAATGATGTAATACTACTTGCTTCTACCACATTAATGAGAACAGAATTAGTCGATAGTCAAACCATTTAATAAAAAAAATTCTGGTCGAAAGGTACCAACCTCGGTCTGCTTTGTTTATATTCACTTTTATCTGTATGAGTGCAGGTTCATCCGTTGGCTTGTTAAGACCTGAAAACTTAATGTCTGTTTATTCCAAAAGAAGAAATTGTATTATTACATATCAATCGAGGTTCATTTGAAATTAGCTTATTTAGGTATGCTCATATTCATTAAGTTAAGTAACTAATCTGTAGATTCACAATAATGGTATTTAAACGCTATGTAATATGTTGCCTCGGCACAACCTTGTCGAGTACTCATGACCGAATTTATACCACGGCCTAACAGTAAGCCTACATTAAACAATTCTTTCGTCATTTTTCACCGATTGAGTCCCCAGAGTCCCAAGTGCGAGTTTATTTCACATCTACTCGATCTTCACTGTGACCGTGTGTTCAACGTGGCGCGGTGCTGATAGGGAGCCGCTCTAAATCCTTATCGGTTAAGTTCAAGTGAATGCTGTTATAATTTCGATTATCAAAGTAGGGAAGCACGACTTAAAATCAGGGGGAGAACTGGAACCGCGTCAACGCACTTGTTATTTTTTCTCTTTTGTCCCCTTTATGTTAAAAAACAACTTTAATTAAATCTGGTAATGAGTGGGTCACATTACAACAGATTCACGTTGACACTGCTCTAGGCAGAGTCTAAAACCGCAACTATTTGGTGGTAAGCCTTAGCCTTACACCTTGTTACCATTTATAATCACTGTCAGGTATACAACCTTCTTTACTACTTTTTCTTTTACTTTTTTTTTTCAAACTAAATTATTTGTAAATAAAAATGTTATTTTACCAGAATCCAAGTGTTTGTCGAACTCAATCGGAGGTCTAAGAACAAGAGAACCAGTTTTATCAACATGTTACTTCTAAAAGCTTATAAACTAAACTAAGGTAATGAATTGAATTAATTAAAAAAAAAAAAAGTAAAAGATTCAATTCGAATCGAACTTGCTGCTCGGAACTACGCAGTTGAGCTTGGAACGTATCCCTACGTTCATTCAAATAATTCTAAATAGTCAATAGTTCAGTCAGTTAACCCTTCAAGTTCTCGAATTAAGCTAAGAGATAATAACATTCATCAATAAGGTAGACTAGATGTATAGATCATAAGGCATCGGTGAATGCAGGCCTACTATTAAAAAAGATCTGTGTCCAGTAGAAGATGTCTGAAATGATAATGATAGTGAAAGTTTAATAAATAATTGAAATATTGTCATTGATTATTAAAACATGTTACAGGAGCTGGATGCGAGAAGCCCAAAATCGATCTAAGAGGCTTGCAACGGAGACCTATATACAGCAGTGGACCACGATAGGCTGATGATTATGTTAAAATATTCATCAACAGCCTTTAACAGTCTACTGCTGGACATAGGCCTCTCCTTAGAAAGGAGGTTTTGGCCTACTATGTTAAAATATTCACAACAGGTTTACTATTAATTATGTTTATAACACAAGTCATAATAAAAAAAAATAAAAAAAAACGACTGCAAATTGACAATTAAAAGTAGTACCCTAAAATGCCCATTTTTATTATTCCTTATTTAATTATTATGTGTTACTCATCAATATTTTGGTAACCCACTTTTAATTTTCTTCATTTTGATACCCTACTTTATAGTTTGCTCAATTTTTCTTTTATTATTGTTTTATATTTATTTATATACCTTTTATTATTTTGTTTTTATTATTATTTTATTATCATGTTTTCAAAAAGCTCTAACGACACTTGGGTTTTTGAGACGGAAAAAACAATATCTTAACTGTCGAAGTCCATCCTGCCATTTGGGGATACGAGGTGATAAAGAAATTTATAAACAAACATACAAGATATAATATCCATTGGTACTTACATAGTGGGAGTAATGTAAGGTCCTTGATAGCTTTCGGGATCATTTGGATCATTCTGATGTAGAAAGTCCCTGTAAATATACCAGAAGTCTTATTTTGAATTGTTAAATACAGAAGTAAGGATTAATGCAAAAGTAAATGAATAGAATTGTCTTATATCTTCACATCGTCTTAGTCGAAATTTTTAACCAAAGTGGGTATTTTTTCGGCTTAGAGTTGAAATGCTTTTTTTGCGATTAGAATCTAACATAACATTCACTAAAGAAAATCAATTCTACTAAATAGATTGTATAATTAATGTAAATATTCGAAAGCGAGAATATCGGTAGGTTTAAAATATCTTGTACTACTTGTTTGGTTTTATTATTTGCTTAAGGATCACTATTTCTTCTCCGATTGGAACTTTCAATCAGAATAAAAAAGGCCCCTGGCCGTAGTATAATTCACATATGATTACATGACGCTGATCAATCTGATCTCTGAATGTGGAAGCTGTGCCTGCATGTGGTTCTTGATCCGGACAATAGTATTGGGTGGATCTAAATCGTAGCCTCGAAACTTTGCCTTAAAAAAAAGAAAGAATATGTAATACACTGAATTAAACAAGAAAGATTTATGGTGTTAATACTTTTAAGATTTTTAGTTAACTACTTAAAAACTCCCGCCACAAAAAACTTTAAAAAGCCACAACTGCTCATTGAGACTGTTCTAATAAGCCCAAACATGGTATACGTGCTGTAATTTTCTAAGGAGTTGACTATCCCGCAGACTACTTGATGCAGCATTAAGTTCCAGGTTACCATCTCGAGGAAATATAATCAAAGTAACAGTGTACCAACTTTCAGATCAATTGGACCTGTGGATTTTAGTGAGATCCCTTTATCAGTCAGGAAGTGAGCTGTTGATCTTCAAAATTTATAGCTAAGAACCATCTCGATCACATCGACTTTCGAACGAAAAAACCGCATCGAAATTGGTCCATGCGTTCGGGAGCTATGATGCCACAGACAGACAGATACACAGATACACAGGTTAAACTTATAACACCCCTCGTATTCTGTCGAGGGTTAAAAATATCAATCTATGCTTCACGAATGCTTACCCCAGAGTTGTTAAACGCTCGCCTCATAATTTGTAAAACAGGTTCTGATGACTTACTTTCCTTAATGAGTTTTATAAGAGCTAGAACTGAACCTAAAGACCAGTTCTTGGGATCTTCAAAACCATCGGGTTTCGGTAATATAACCGCTAAAAGAAAAAAAAACATTTTCTCACTAGTGATTCGGTAAGTAAGGCAAATAAAATTTGCTGTATATACGCATGTATGTTAAGGTCAAACATTAAAAGTGCAGTTTTAACGCATTGTGGCAATCAGAGAAAGAACCCATCGCAAAATGATTATGGTTTCATGAAAATATGTTTAGACCAGTTTCTTATCCATACCTTGGATATCAACAGAGTTATCTTTCTTCACATATTTTTCTAGTTTATCTTTGTTCTTTTCCAAGAGACTGTCAAGCCAACCATCTTCGTTTACAACTACGTTGGCTGTTGCGATCCCCAAAAGTAGGGTAACCGTAAGTATATTCTAAAACAAAACAATATAATTATGTCTATTTTAGTGGCGTTTTATCGTTTCTACCGTCAGGGTACTGGATGGACGAGAATGCTGCGTAATTGTATGTTTGTATCTATGTGAAGTACTTCATTGATGGCATTTTCAAGAGAGAGACGAGTTGATATTGTGACGTATATTTTCCGTGTTTTATTATAAAATAATACGAAAAATATCATGTCCCAATAATGCGGCTAATCCCTGTTGAAAATTAAAAGTGACGGTGGTAAGGTAGAGTATACTTCTCTAGTATACTCTACCTTACCACCCTAAAAGTAACCATTGAGCTCTCGGACTCTTAAAACAAATATTATACACAATGCAAGGTATTGAGTATTATCGAGTGTGGTCCACGATCTTCTATTGGATATGGAGAGAGAGGAAAGAGAGAGAAAAAAAATATTTAAAAAGACTGCACTAATTATAAGCCAATGTCTATATAAATTAATTAAATTTTACTGATTTATACTCCAAATAAGTGCTTTTGACAAATTTTTGTACTTGCTACCATTTTTTTAAAGTAATTCATATTGATTAAAAGAAAGGTTTTGCTATCTAAACGTATTAATTTTTATTAATATTTGTGTATTAATATTTGTGTTATTGTATATATTAATTGATAGTTTAATTAGGAGAAATATTTCTCATTACTTAATCCTAACGATTTAAGAGACAATTCTAGTTGGGATTAAATATTTTACTTAGAAGATAATTTTAATATTTTCATTGAACAGAACACATTTAAAAAAATACTAACCTTTAAGCACATTTGAGAAGACTAAGGTATTATTTGGTTGAGATTTAGCTTGATATTGTTCAAACTATTTCAAATTCACGAGCTAGAACCTCATTATAAATTTTAATTACGAAAATTAAAGCCAATATTACGATGCTATTTTACAACAGAATCGTAATTTTTTCAATCAACATTTATTACATATTACATGCTACATTAACTACATAAAGTAGTTTCGACTATAGATTTTAATTATTAATGAAAAATAACTGTAGAATCTACATGGCATAAATATGTGTATGTTTAATATGCAGTCTATATTATAGACGTACTAAATGCTAATTTAATTTTCCTTAAACAGTTTTCTCGTTGCTTTTTAACATGCTTTTATTAGCTCGGTATGTTGTCCGTGTGGTGACGGATTAAGAATACAGAGTGTCACCACCCCTATTCATCCCGTGGGTGTTGTATGAGGCGACTAAGGGAGCAAACTATGCAGGACAACAGCACTGCAGAGAGAAGGAAAACTTGAAACAAACCCTATACCAACCCGTCTGGCCAGCGTGGTATTGTAGGCCAAAACCTCCTTCCTAAGGAGAGGCCTATGTTCTGCAGTGGACTAGTAAAGGCTGTTGATGTATGTATCTATGTAACGGAATTTTTGATCGTGATTTTGACCTCGTTCAAAAATTCGAATTAACTTGAAAGTTGGCACACTTATCAAGGATCGATGACAACACAATAATTTGATAAATTTTGGCCAATTAATCTGACCAGGATCATCAGGATTAACGGGTTTTTCCATACCTCAAAATACGGTAGTGTCTTTCACTCAAATTCACTGAAATTCAATTGACGCTAAGTTTGAGGCACGAGTAAAGGTATTAGGAAGAACCCGGATTAAAAGCTAATAAAATAAACTTGAATGTTAAACTAATCTCTGCCATCTCTTATTCTTATAACTCCTGTAATAATTACAAACACGCAAATAAATCTATACTAATCTTATAAAGAGGTAAAATTTGTGAGTTTTTATGTTCGGGCTAATATCAGTAACTGCAGTTTCGAATTATAAAAATATTTTAGTGTTGGATGACCCTTTTTGTTGCGGTGGGAAATAGGCTATATAATAAGAAAAACTTACGAAAAGGGGAGCCAAGTATGAAAAAAAAATGTTGCAAAAACGTGGCAAATTTATTCTGAGTCTGAGAAAGGCAGATGAAAAGAACTAGAAAAGACTAGTTCTTAATAAAGTGAGTAGTCACGCAGACCGTTTAGAAGTATTATTTGTTACTATGTTAAAAAATAAGAAGCTATGAATAAATTCTCATCAAAAAATAACGTCGAAGAGTAATTGAATAAAATACTGTTTATGGGTGGGGTTAAAACACTTGAAAAGTACTTCATATATTTTACCTAGAAGTGTTAGATCCATCTAATGTGACTGTCTCATGGCGAGGTTTACGAGAGCTTAGCTATCAAATTTTTGCGCTACCGTTTATAAAAAAGACATGTAGGTAATTGTTTTATTCTGCTGTCTGTGTCATTTTATCATCTACATGAACTATAAAACGAGAAGCTGTATAAGGTTTGAAATACATTTTATTTTATGGTATTTTTTGACAAATTATTTGACTATTTGAATAGGTACTTATAACTTTATGAAAGATTAGAATTAGGTTTGATGGTTATTTAATGATAAGCAGAGAGAAAAACGTGACATAACCTAAGCCTATTGAATCGAAGTTAAATGACACTATGGCCTCTTACTACAATTATAAATTATCGAATGACTTCTATGTCGATTTAGCTCTTACACGAGCTCTTACACGCCGGCAAAATCGCCACCCAAAGGTTGACTGGTAGAGAATGCCTTAGGCATTAAGTCCGCCAATGCACCAAAAGTGAAATGATGTATAAATAAATAAATAAAATCGCACCCTTCGCAAGTTAGTTCGTTTTATAATCTAAGGGGCGCACGAATACACAGGTTAACTGATAGAAAGGGACTACCGCTGGCCTAGGGGGCCTACCGGTAGTAACATACTCCCACGTAGTTTAATTGTAGCTTGCTATCATCCACGAAAAGCATAACCTGGGGAAGTAAATTTAAAAATTCATGACAATTGTTATCCAAAAAGTGAAGAAAACTATTATTCTTTATTACATTTATTTCTTTTTTATTGTGAAGATAGTACAATAACATACTACCCAATATATATATACCTATTATATACCTGTTGTAGTTATACTGAAATACAAGTTGTTTACCTTACGCAAGGTATTATAGCATCTTGATAGTTTCTCCATTAATCTACTGAATAGCTCCGAGAACAATAAAAGGATGAAGCAGATTGCCAGAACGGTCCCAAATACTGAATCACTTCAATAAAAAGTTTTCATATAAAATTTCCACATGTATGTTATGGGGTTCGATATTGTTGTGTTTCAGTTATTTATTATTGTGTTAAGAGGATATTTATGCCAACTTTCAAATTAATGGATGTAACTGAGAGAAATAATAATTTAACATTTAATTTTTGTTCTGTAAAATTTATGTAAAGTAATTTTAGGCTCCGTCAAGAGGAGAATTAAAAAAATAGCGAACGGAAGATTAAGACTTTAATTGAACTTTAATTAAAACTCGCCGTTTCTCATAGTTTTATGCGCATTGACGCTCATTGCTTTGTTCAGAATGACGAAGAGTGATGTTAAAATCCAAAGTCTTCAGCATGTATAAATTATTTTCAAGATTAAAAACCTTAAAATTTATTTATACATGCCGACTTGACAGTCAGTTCACTGTAATAAAGTAATACCGATAATTTAAAAGTAAAAAGTCATAACTCAATGCCTTGACCTGCCTTGACCTGACAGTCAGTTCAGTGTAATAAAGTAATACTAATAATTTAAAAGTAAAAAGTCATAACTCAATGCCTTGACCTGACAGTCAATTCAGTGTAATAAAGTAAAACTAATAATTTAAAAGTAAAAAGTCATAACTCAGAAGTTTAACACTTTTGCAGAACCTGTAGTGCTAGGGCAATAAACTCAGGAAGTACGTTATTAAATAAAATCAATACATCTCTAGATTAATTGAAGCGGAACAACGGCGCAACTAGTCGAGATAATTAAATAAACTTCGGGAAAGTTAGGCAAACTTCAGGTATAAACTTCAATCCAGCTAAAGTTTGGTCTACATTAACATCCTTGACAAATACAGTACCTTCTTATATTAGAACCTGGTCAGCTTTGTGAATAATATAAAAAAACTTATGTAGCGTACCTTTTACGACGTAGCGCAGTTTTACATTACAAATACGTCTATTTTGATTAAAGGGGGGGGGGGAGGGGCCAGAAAGGGGGTTTTAAAGCATCAATAATAAAAATATTTTTGGACATCTGACACACAACGCCTTCTAATTTCAAATTAAGCAGAGCTTGTACTATGAAAGCTAGATGGACTGATAGAATGATCCATTGATCATTCTATCAGTCATTGAATTACGGGGTCCGCTTTTTAAATCTACTACGGCTCAAATTCGTTTTTTTACGAGGAGCGACTGCCATCAGACCTTCACCACCCAAGTACTAGGTGATTTATAATTTCTATAGTAAGGCTCTTGTTGGACTTTTTAAGGCTTCAACTACCCGTAACGATTGCCACAGATGTTTGTATAGCAACCGACACCGACGGCATAATGTGCTCTCCGAGGAATGGAGGGGTCTCAATGTGTTAAGAATGGTCAGCCATCCATAGAATGACCTGGTTAGGATTGCTTGACTTTGCAATGTGTTAACTTATTCGGTTACCAGTTAACCATGAGCCCCTCCAATGGATTGCCGATTACTTCTGTAAAGCTAACACGGTATGATAAAAGTTCTTGATAGCTTTGATACAGGCAAAATTGAAGTCTAGTTACTACTGACTAGTGCGTAATGATCTGCCCAAATGTAAAGAAGAAGCGATTTACATAATACATATTATTAGTGAAGAGGACTTTCAGGCTGAAGATGGCATATGACATGACATTTGATAAAGCAACTTATTGTTGCTATATATTTAAAAGTGGATGATTTCAAAACTATCAACTTTATGAAATCACATCACATCAACAGCCTTTAATAGTCCACTGCTGAACATAGGCCTCTCCTTAGAAAGGAGGTTTTGGCCTACTATACCACACTGGCCAGACGGGTTGGTATAGGGTTTGCGTCAAGTTTTCCTTCTTTTTGCAGTGCTGGTGTCAGTGTGTGTATGTGTGTCTGACAGTTTTATGAAATAAAGATATAGCAGTTGAAATTTATGGAAGAATACGAGAGATAAATGTAAAAAGCTAAATAGTTAATTAATTTCATTATCTACTTTTAAGTACACACAAACACGTTAATACATGTGGGAGAACTGGTGGTATTTCCCTCCAACACAAGTTCAGTGTATGTATATTCCTTATATAGATTGAATTATGTTTTTGTGTGAAATAAAGTTGTCACATATATTTCTATAGGTAGTAATTCTATAATTTCCATAGTACTTATTGTGTTAT